CTTCCCCCCCCCCCAGGCCCTGGCGAAACTGACCAAGATGCACAACCTGGTGGCTTCCATGATTTTGGGGATCACGCCCGTCGCCCGCAGCCGCACCGGGCCCCAGTCTCTTGTCCTGGAGACCCTGTGCCTCCTTTTAGAGATCCTCTCGCCCAAACTGAGACCGGTAAGGAGCTTCTCCTCCTTTGGAAAATGAGCCTTGTAGAGTCACCACTTTCTGCAGGCGAGCGCCTCTAAGTCAGGAATAAAAGGATGAGGTTTCCTGGCCCCCCTAAAGCATAAGAGGCCTAATCTTTTCAATAGAAATGATGCACCTTGTAGTTTTCTGCCTCTGAGGCTGGTAGCTCCTTTCCCTTGCCTTCGTTCTGATGGTGCTGCATCCAGGTTGCCGAAAAAACCCCTTTGCTCCGCAGGGTTTTCGGACCCCACCTGCCCCCCCAAGCAGAGCAGAAGGGGTGGAGAATCACTCCTTCCGACGCATGCACCAGAATGCAAAGGAAGGACAGGACCACCTCGCAGCCTTTGAGCTTGTCCCCGGGGCCGGCAAGACAGTGGCTGGAAACCCACTGGCTGAGCAATCCCTCTGGGACAGATCCTGGCGCTTTGCCTTTGCGGTTAGCCAGAGCATCGGCCGTGTCCCGGCATTTACCAAGCCTGCCGTTTCCTACGACCTGTGGAGTGAGGGGTGGCCAAGCTTGGAATGGCATTTCGAGGGCCGATCGGGACCCCAAAGCGAAAGGGGGGGTCCCCAAAGGCCAGGATACTAGCCGCATAGATGGTCGAGGAAAACCCTCGCCTGCGTCTCTGTTCCAGGTGAACCCCCAGCTGTACAGCCAGACCGAGAAGCGGCAGCTGGCGGAGCTGATCGGCACCATGCTGGCGTATAATCTCACCTACCACCAAGAGCGAACCCCTGACGGGCAGTACATCTACACGCTGGACCCGTGAGTGGCACCTTCTTTCATGCTTCCTCTCCTGCCGTGGGTGGAAGGTTTTAACTACCCCAGGAGGCGGTTTCACAGGCTTTGCAACCCAAATGCTTGAAACATCCTTGTTGAGAAACTTTGCGTTTGGCATGAATGCAGAAGGGGGTGTGTTTCCCTTCCACTCTCTGGCCTGTAAAACGGGAGCGCTGAAGAGCGAGCCGGGCGTTTGCTCAGCTTTGTGGCTGGAGGTCGTGTTACGTTGAGGTCCCGGAAACGTGTATTTTAGGTTCTGTTCTGCCAGGTTGCTTCCAAATGATGGTGAATTTAGTTGGGTTCTCAAGGTATGTGAGATGTTGAAGGGTTGGTTTCCCCCCTTCCACACCCCCAGTGAGCTTCTTGGACTGAACAGGATTTGAACCCAGGCCTCCTGAATCCCTAATCTGCCCTCCTACCCACTGCACCCCCATTGGCTTTCTTGCATTTTATATTGAGATGCCGGTGCTGGGTTCAAGAGCAGCATTGGGTCATCATTGCTTCAAGGATGGTGAAAAAGATGTTTTGACTTTTTAGGGCGGTGGCTTATTCACCCCTGGTCTTTGCCATTGTGCTTCTCAAATCCTTCCAGGTGGGAAATAAAATATGTATTTGCGTCCATGCCTGGCCCTCCCATAATAGCTACTTGGAAACGATCTGACCCATCAGAGCAGCCCGTGTTCGGCTACATAGCTCTGGGTTTTATTCACAAAAAAAGTCTTATCCCAGTACTTAAGAGGCTGGTTTGAAGAGGCTTTCTGAGCCAGGCCGTCCTTTCCTCTCTCCTGTCTTTGAAGAGATGAGTTTAAGTCCACAATCGGACAGGGAACTAGAAAGGTTCTACACTCTGACAACCCTAAAATCTAGTGCTGAATCCTACCGCCTAAGATAAGTCAGAACAGCTTTTCATAATTCACTCCAGTTTTGCCGACTGTAAGAGGTCCACCCGTAGGCAATCATCCTCCCCAATCCTCCACCATGGCCTTTTATGCTTCACCAGAGCCCGTTCCCTTTGTTTTCTCTCATGCCTTTGCCACCATGAGGACTAGAAACATTTAAAACAACCACTGAGATTCCAGGAAGGCGAATTCTGTACCCCAAAACCTCTATTCCCTTCTTTTCTTCACAAAAAGCCTTGAGCGTTGCTGTATATTCTATTTTATGACCGGCCGTGCAAGGACTGGGCTTTGGAGCCAAAATCTCGTTACCGTTCCTAAAAGATTAGCGGGTTTTGTAGAAATTGCCGAGATGCTGCATTTAATCGCTTTCTGCTTTTTTGTTTTGTTTTGACCTTGAGTGCCTCTGAAACTGGCACACACACCCCTCCAAAAATGAAAATCTTCAGTGTTTCTGTCTCTGTTTTAATGTCCTGGTTGGAAAGGATTTTCCGCAAGAGACGTAGGGTGGTCTTTTGGAAAAAAAACAGTGAGCAACCGAGTCGTGGCCTCTGCCCGGCCTCTTGTGAGATTAAAGAATCATGATAGCAGACAAGCCCAAGAATTCGGCTAAGCTGTCTCATCTCTTGGCTGAAATATCTGGAAATGCACTGTGACAGAATTTCAGTTTGGTTTCCCCCCCCCTCTTCTTTTTTGGTCTTTCAGGGTCACAAATGTCCTCTTCTCAGCATCTCGCCTTTAGACCACGTCCCGTCTGGTTTCCCTCCCCCCCCCACGATCTGTGCCCTATAACGTCCCCCCCTACTTGCTTAATCGGGTTTGATCCTCTTTGACTTCTCAATATGTTTTGCTTCTTTCTGCAGATACAGGCACGCAAAGGAATATATGTGGCTTTAGTTATACTTCTCATCGAACTCGTAGGTAGAGGAAGGAGAGATACGGGCCTTATTTTATCCGTTCCCCCTTCCTTTTACACCCTATTAGCAAACTGGGTTTTTTTTTCTGTTGTCCGCCATTCCTACCCTATGTGATCAACCGAATACAGTCATGTTGTGTATAGCGCTGGTGTGCTACAACGCATGTGCTCGGATGTCCATTTTGTGGTGCTACTTGTGGACTCGGTCTGCCTCGCGGAGGTAAACCTGGAGATCGGGGGGGACCAGCTGATCAGCTTGATGCTAGAGGTAGACCCCTCCCGGGCTCCAGAACATCTGGGATAATGTTAAAATAATCTTGGTTAGCACTCCATTTTCATAGAGTGCATCCAGAGCACCAAGTGGGGTTTTAGAGTAAACATTTGCTGGTTCACTTCCTCGCATCTGCAAGCTGGATGCGAGGAGGCTGGTGGCAGTCCGTGTGTGGACAGGACGGGACCGTGCGGCAACAGCCTGAATCCGAAGCAGGCTGTTCCTTCCCTTAGGTCTTCTCCCACGGCCCAACACTTGAGCTGAAATCTGAGAGCTTCTGTCAAGGGAGAGCCGATGAGCCCGATTCTCTTTCTGAGGTATTCCCAAACAGGTTCAAGGGTAAAAGGTTAGGACAGGGAGTGGGGGTGAAGTACGATAAAAATATGTCACCCTTCGAGGATGAAACCAGACAATGCATTACAATTTATCCCGTTTCCTGTAGAGGTGCTCCTCTTAATGGTGTCGTGTGGTTTTCCTTAGCTCCGTATCTTGCCTTTAGCACGCTTCATTTTGTGGCCGATTACTGGAAAGCACACGCAGGCGTTGTACTCCAGATAGTCTGTTTCCCTGAAAATAAGACCTAACCTGAAAATAAGCCCTAGTAGGATTTTTCAGGGTGCTCGTCATATAAGACCTACCCTAAAAATAAGCCCTAGTTAAGTGAAACCTCTGCCCTCCACCCTTGGGCAGCAACGAGAAGATGATGACATGCCTGTATTTGAATAAAGGTAGATTGCTGTACATGGGGAAAAAAATAAAACATCCCCTGAAAATACGCCCTACTGCTCTTTTTTTTGAGCAAAAATTAATATAAGACCCTGTCTTATTTTCGGGGAAATGCAGTAACTTAACGTTTCCCAGCTCTGCTCCAAAATTACCTTTTGCTATTACAGGTCCTGTTCTTTTCTGGTTCATAAGTCCTTGAACTCACGTCTGGGTCTGACTTCACTCCCTGACCTCAACCTGAAGCTGCTTTTCTTTTTTTATTATTATTTTTTTTCCAAGCAGCTCCGCATTCTACAAAACCACGCCCAAGGTTAATACTGCTGGAAATGTTCTTTCACTCCAAATCCCTTACATTCATTCAAAGGGCTTAGCGGTCTGCTCGTGCGTGCACGTGGGGGGGTGTTGCATGTGCGTGTGGCTTTCCCCCAACCAAAACCACCCTCCCTCTTCCTCATTCTCTCAGCTGGGGGCCCCCGTCTGGATCTCCGTCTGCAAATGCCGCGCTGCCTCTTTCCAGGAAAAGAGATCAAGATTTCAGGTGTTGCCCGCTTCTCCCGTCCCCCCCGGAGGTGTGGATTTTTGGAAGGACACCCGCTTCTCAGCCTCCCCCAGCAACCAGAGTGCCCAACGGCAGGCGAAGACCGCTGGCCTTAGAGGAAGCGGAGCAGCGGCTTGCGGGGCTTTGGACGGAGAGGTGTGGAGGACCCGAAGATGCGCCCGGCTCTCCCTTCTGCGGCCGGCAGCTAGAACATGCCCTTCTTCCCCCTCCTGTCCCAATGTTTCAAGCTCGGTGCCAGGAGACGTTGTTCGTTACCGACTGGGGGGTGCCCTTGGTCATTGCTTTGCTCCTCCTGGGGTTGATCTACCTCTTCATTTACCTGCCGGCCAGCCTCCAGCAGTCCTCCACGGAGGAGGTAGTGAGGAACATGACCGACAGATACGGGTACAGCGGCGTCGGCTTCATCAAACAGTGAGTGTCTCCCGGAGGGAGCTGAAGTTGGCCGGCTGCCTTCCGGTGGGTTTGCCTCCTGACGTGTTCAAGGCCATGACAGGGCAGGTGCGGAGGGGACCCCAGGCTCCCCGAGCGCCTCCTTCCTTTCAGAGAGGAAAACATTCCAGAGGGAGCACTTTGTGCGCCATTTGCCTGGAGGGAACGCATGTTGGGTGCCGTGCCGAAGGAGCCCCCCACCCCCAGTGGCTTTTTCCTTCTGGACTCCCCCAGGCCACGTCTCTCCGGACAGACGTGGCTTCCTCAGCTGCCCGAGGCTCGCTCATTGAGGCGACGTGGAGTCGGTTTGCAGCCACCAAATGGGGGAAGGAGACCCAGTGGCTGGTCTGGTGAAGGAGGAACTCGGAGCGCGCCGGTCTTTGAGGGAACGGCAGCTGGTTTTGCCCGGAGCCCCTGCAGACTCTGAAGATCGGCTGCGGGGGAGAGCGTTCGCTCTCTCTAGCTCTGGGAAGCCCAGGGCCAACATCGAAAAGACTCCGGAAGATTCCTTTTGCTCAAGTTCTCGGCATTTTCTTTCCATTGAGGGAATGAACAACCCCATTTCCAGACCTTCCCCAACACGTGGATGAAGACAAGCTGCAAAGTTGTATAATTTTACCTGGAGCTAGAAGCGTTTTGCCGTACCGAGTTTGTCTCCATTCTTGCTTTGTTTTCTCTTGAGAGCCGGCGTGGTGTAGCGGAGAGAGGGTCGGACTACAACTCGGGGGACAACAACCCCATTTCCAGACCTTCCCCAACACGTGGATGAAGACAAGCTGCAAAGTTGTATAATTTTACCTGGAGCTAGAAGCGTTTTACCGTACCGAGTTTGCCTCCATCATTTTGCCACTTCCATTCTTGCTTCGTTTTCTCTCAAGAGCCGGCGTGATGTAGCAGAGAGAGGGTCGGACTACGACTTGGGTATCCGGGTTCAAATCCCTGCCGCCAGAAATTCACTGGGAAGTGATGTTGACAAACCACTCACATGCCTCGGAAATCTTATTAAAGGGTCTCCAGAAGATGGGGGACCATTTAGCGGCCTGTGATGATGCTTGTTAGCAGCATAACTGTGACTTAACTGGTTTTGCACGGGTCAGCCTGTTGGGGCAAACTTCCCCAAGTAATTCCAGTCGCAGAGAATACCTCCTTTTCTTCAAAGGATTCCTCGTCCTCTGATTCTGCCCCAGTGGCTGACCTGAATGAGTCTCCTCCTTCCCAAGAGACGGGTCCAGACTGCTGACTTGTCAGAGACACTCCGGGCAGACTCCTCCGAGAACAGGTTGTCCTGCTGGGTGCGAAACACGCGTGCGACACCCAAGAGACAAAATTCCTCACGTCCAGAGGAGATGGATTTGGAAAGCCAGACAAGCTCATCCTTTCTCCAGGCGCTCTGACGGGCTCCCTTTAATCTTTTAGATTGATTCACGCATCCTGGCAAACTAGACTTGCCGATCGCAGGATTATAGCACGGCTGGTTCAAGAGAAAATTGGACCACCCTCTCTCCGATCTGCTTGGATTGGGATTCCTTCCTTGACCAGGGGGTTGGACTAGATGGCCTTCGAGGTTCCTTCCCACTCCACTGTTCTAGGATTCTGTGTTTCTTCTGCTCCCGGCCGCTGTCTCTGGGGCTTGTCTCTTCCCAACACTGCTGGCAAGCTGGGGAAGGGGGGGGAAGAGCTGCTTAGCCCTGTCCATTGGGTATGAAACGGGGAGAAGCAGAGCAGAAAAAAAAAGCAAGATCATCTTTATCCAGGGCACTCCATCTTCTGTCTGTGTAGCCACAGTAGATTGTTTTAAAGAGTTCTGGCTGTTTCATGTGAATTAGGATGTTAAAAAAAAAATGTAGGCTTCCTTGTTTTCTTTTTCTTTTAAAATGAAACAAGTATTCCCAAGGCAAGCGTTTGTCCTTCATATAAGCAGGAACAACTGTGTCTTTGCAAAAGCCACTACCTTTTGTCTTAGGAATTGTGTGTGTGCTGTCTTGAGCAAAGTTAGCTGCTCCCAAGTCCCAAGTGAACGGCTCGGATTAACCTGTCGGATGCGCTGGCCTTTGTAGAATATTCAGTCGTGATTCCTGGAGGAAACTGTGGATGGGCCTGTTTTATTTTCACCATTCATGTGGGTCTTTCTTACTAGCGATTCTGTCTTCCATGGTCGCGAGTGAAATTTGGTGTTGTTGCTGGGTTTTCTTCCAGCTTGCTAGATGCATTCAGGAGGGTGATGAGCTGCCAGTATGACGGGTTAAGGATGTGTTATTTTTTCCCCCCAAAATGTCTGCTTGGAATTATTCAAGACAATAAACCTGCAGCGTTCAGCCGAGCCAGCCTGTCTGTTTTATGGGTCCGTTCGTTCATTTCTTATTACACCCAGAGTATTTTAACTTCCAGATATCCTGTGTGGTTGTGGTGGGTAAAGTGACAAGCTAGGTCTCGAGAGACCTGCATTCAAATCCGTGCTCTGCCCTGGAAATCTACAGATTGGAACTGGTAAAACCACTCCTTAAAAACCCCGCTTATCATATTTTTCCATGTATATTTCCTTTTGTGTAAAATCTTTAGATGAAAGATTGAGGGCCGTCTTATACACGGAAGTAAGCTGAGGAGAGAACAAAAACAAGTGGAGGGGAAAGCGGGGATCAAAGCTATCCTGCAGCGGTTTGATCCCTTTCCCTCTGCACTTGCTAAAGCCCACTTAGATTTCATAATTTTGGATTAGAGAAATTGGGGGGTCTTATACATGGGGTGTCCTATGCACTGGAAAATACGGTACATTGAAAGCCCTTTTTGTGTGGCTAAGTCTGTTTCACTTGATGGCATATAACCCATTCTAACAATTAAATTTCTATTGCTTTTCTCATGTTTATTGCTGATTATTTTGTAGGGAGAGGGGTTTTACAAGAGGTACAGAATGCTTATGAATACTCCAATTCCTGGTGGGTTGGGGATCATGTGCAACAGGTTGCTGGTGAAAAGCAGGGTATTCCGCAAGAAGAGAGATCAAGGTGCAATGTCTCAGTCCCATAGAACCTGGGGCTGAAAAGCAACCGCGTGGTGTGGGCAGGAGAATTTTGACAAGTGGAAGGCTGGGGTAAAGTGACATTAGAGACTGTGATCCAGTAGTCATGGTAGGGGTTTTTTAAAAGGACTATTCTCAGCTCCAAGAGAGGGATACAATTATTTTTCATTGGGAGTCCCTAAAATCTCCCTTTTAATCTGACTTTGTGAAAGGATCATCCTTTTATATCCTTTTATTGCAGCACCTTCATCTTTAGCTTGCATGGAACTGCATGTGCCGGCGTGGAATTATTCAATGGATGTGTATCTGTACTAAATAATTCCTTTTATAGTTCATTTTTTGCTCTCTCTCTCTCTGTTTTTAAACCACTGTTCTGTGCCCTGCTCTGTTCCATTGCAAACCCTAGCAACGTGGAAGAACTGTGTCGGTTCCCTGGTCTTCCGGTTCGGAAACCATTGACTTACCAGGCCAAGCAGCTCATCGCACGAGAAATTGAACTGGAGAAAATGAGGCGGACAGAAGCCGCGCTTCAGACCCGGAACTCCGTCCAGGTCAGTCGCTGGGCTGCTGGCCTTGGGCTGGTCGGAGGGTTTGTTGGAGCTGGTGGGTTGAGAATAAACCTAGATTTGCAGGTTGAACGGTTTGCCACCAACAAACCACGTTTAGGGAGAACGAGTCCAGAGCACCCACCGACGAAAGCAAGCCAGGTTAGGTTGCAAGAGGGATAGCAAGGAGGCAGCCACTCAATTGATCTCCTGGTCCGTGTTGGACACCATGCGGTTGTCCTCAGATAACTCAGCTTCGTCCTCTGGAGATGAATTCTTGAGAGCTTTAGGAGTGGGCTTTTTAGATTTTTTTGGACTACGGAGCCCATAATTCTCTGGGAGTCATCCCTCCCCTCCCCATTGCAAAATTGGAATCCGAAACATCCAGGCTCATGCAGGAAAGACGACACGTAATGGTAGCCAGGCATGTTGTCCCAGTTAGGGTGCTGTTAGCAGCACAGACCAATTGCAGGCTCTTTTTTTTGTGCCCTAAATGCAGCTCTAGAGAAACATCTCGACGTTAGGGTGCTGTTAGCAGCACAGACCAATTACAGGCTTTTTTTGCGCCCTAAATCTTATATATTTCCAATAAACGCAGCTCTAGTGAAACGTCTCGACCTCTGGGGTCATCTTAGGGCTGCCAGGCATCTGGAACATAGCGCTCTGCTGCCCTCTGATGGTCACAAGCATTTAGTGCCGCTCCGCCGGTGCTGAACTCTTGACACCCGCAGCCTGTTTTCTGTCTCTTTTGGTTCTCCTTCGTGTCCCGAAATGACCTCGAGGTCTTGACTAAGGACTCCATGAGTCACAGGCAAATCACCAGCAGAGACACTGGTCCAAATCCCGTTGGCTCCATGTGCGTCCAAGAGGAATCATAGAAGCTAATTGTCGCTAATAAATGGAGTGCCAGACACACCACCAGGCACATGACCGACGTGCCTCCAGCAGCTCACCAATTAACCGCGACAAGCTCTTCCTCTTCTATGAACGCAGAAAGCCCGAAGGGGCTGCTAGCTTGTAATCCCTCCTGCTTAGCAATTATCTGGAGCTGCAGAGCATGTCCAGAGATGGTGCTTTCCTTACGACAACCCTGTAAGTTGACGACTTATTCTCAGGTGGCACAAGAGTGTCAAACCCAAGACCTTCAATCTGTTGGGTTCTCGTCCAGGGGAAAGACATGCTAACAAGAGAAACGAATTCTTCTAATTTTCTTCCTCTGGCTTCCGTCAGTGAAAAACGGGACCGCCTCTTTGCTCTCTCCCATGCGCTGGTCTCTCTCTCTTCCACCAGGCTCCGGAGGCCAGTTCGCTTCCCAAAGGCGGCAATGAGGAGGAAGCGAGCCCTGACCCCACGCCGCTCTCTCCCATGCGCTGGTCTCTCTCTCTCTCTTCCACCAGGCTCCAGAGGCCAGTTCGCTTCCCAAAGGCGGCAACGAGGAGGGAGCGAGCCCTGACTCGACTCTTGTGAAGTCTCGACCACGGAACCACGAGCAGCGCTTGGACCACATCATGAAGGGGGCCACGTTAGCTGAGAAGGTGAATGGCCGGGCGTAAAAAGAGGGAAGCAAGAGAGAGGGAGGAAGGAAGGGGAGGGCTTCCTGCTACAGCCTCTTCCCGTCACTGTCTGTTTTTTTCCCGCAGCCAGAAACTGATTTCTTTGGGCGTGTAATCACCAAGAAGAAGGTGTCTCCTGTCGGTAAGTCTTGGGGTTCAGGAGGGGCCTTGGAGCAATGCCGAAATGCAGAAACAGTATGGCTTACCTTAGCTTTGCAACGTTTGTGAAAAAACTATACAAAAAACAATAAGCTTTCTGCGGAATTAGAATTCTCTTATAGGTTTTACAACTTTCTCCAGCCTTAGCATCATGCATGTGGGACACACTTCTTAGAATTACATTGTGCAGACAGACGGATAGTAATATCAGAGAGAAACCCCCTTTTCTTACAGCTTAAAACTTTTGGGTTTTCGCGGTGGGCACCTGGCCTCGTTTCCATAGAATTAGAGTGTGTTTAAGCTTGTCAAGTAGCCACTCTGAAAAATTCACTAATGATCAGGATTGGGTTAGGGTTAGTCTTCTCCTTACCCTCGAATTTCCGTTCACAGTCTGCCGTAATTTTTTCCATCATCCTTTCCTCTCTCTCCTCCCCTTCCCCCCCAACAGCTGTCAATCAGTTGCCTGAAAAAAACATGATAGAAAATCTGATTGGGAAAGCTGTTGGAGAAAGTGACGTTTGGTTCCGGTTCAATGAAGGCGTGTCCAACGCCGTTCGGAGGAATATTTACATTAAAGATCTGTTCTAGCGAATGAGAACTTGTGAGCCAACGTGGGAGTTGCGCGTCTGAAATGGCCGGCGTTTGGATACTGTGCAGGAATATTTTTGCAAGCATCATACTCTGTTTTGTACTGTTAAAAAAAACAATAAATTTGAGGCACACAGAGATTTGTTCTCTTTATTTCCTTTACGAACTGTTGTCTCAGCCGCTCAGTTGTGGATTGTGTGTGTGTGGAATTTTTTTTTTTTTAGTGCAAAATGGCATACTCTACACGATACAAAAGACGTATTTAAAATAATTGAAAATTCTTTTATAAAACTCATGTGTTCCTTTACAAGTCCAGAAAAAGAGAAGGAAAGACAGAAACAACAGAAGGTTACAGACCTACAGGAAAAGAGAAACAATGGGGTTGATAACTACTCAAATGCTGTCTTTTTACAGTTACACCTTTCCTTTCTTGGCGTTGCCATGACTGTACTTTTCGGATCATGTTTCAAACCCACATCGTGTGCCTCATTCTCTCAAGAATTCCCAAACCATAGACTGGGGCACATTTGTGTATCATAAATTAAGGGCAGCAGTGTGATTGACTGAAGTATTGAACCGTTGTTTCGAGGGGGGGCATTCGTCAAAGTGCCAGTCAGCCCAGGGACACCTTGTGTGGCATAAATTAGCTCATCCTTTCACTCCCTACCACAGCAAAAAATATGGATGGTGGTAGCACCCCCTGAAGGGAAGCCATAAGGATAGTATTGCTGACGGCACGTGGGAGAATCTCAGGCATCATTACTGCTTCAGAAATGGAGCCTTCGTTTCATGAGGGAAAAGAGAGACTGGGATTCTAATTTATTCCAATAAACTAGATTTTGCTACAGTTTTAGGACCCAATCAAGAAAATGTATGTATTTTGTTCTATATTGAAGAGTGAAACATCTCCCGCTTCAACCCAGCAGATGATCTGTGTGCCCCAGATACCAAAAATTTGGGAAACGTCATATTGAGCCACTGTATAAAAGCACCCCCGCGCTAACAAAAGAGTATAAATGTGAATTTAGCCAAAGCAAAACTCTAACAAAGACTTTCTATGTTCAGCTCTCATGCAACTTTTGAGTATCTTCAAAGGAAGCCATATTTTTATCCCTCCCGGACGGTGTCGGCTGTCAGCTACAGGATGGTGCATTTTCCTTTTTCCACCCAGGGGTTAGTCTTCATGAGCTCTGGATTGAGAAATGGATCCTCTGGAATTCCTTCTTCTATCCACTTTAGAAATCTAGAAGGGGAGATAAAAACTAAGAGGCTGTTTCCTCCACTTAAGATGAGACTAGTGTTGGCCCTTGTACAGTCATGACGTGTTGCTTGTAGAGCCCAAAACCTTTCAGGGAGAGCCATTTTCCAGAAGAGGGGTGGGGTGACTGTAAGCACCAACGCCCAAGCCTTGAAAGGCTGCACTGCATATACACCATCCAAAGCCCAAAATTATTTTAAATAAATTAGTGTTTTTTAATGAGTGAAAGAGCTCTCTCCCACCCTCTAGTAGCTAAAATTATTTTTATACGTTATTTTTTGGTTAAATTAGGGTCTACGAGATGGGCCCCAGCAGCGCTGGTAGGGGGGATTTGGGGGACATTGGATCTTGGACCTTCTGCCTTTAAAGCACATGTCGCTCAATGAAGTCATATGCTTTTCCTCCTACAACTCATGGATGGGTTTATATCATCCCTTTGTCTTTTGGATGCAATGAGAGTCAGGATGAGCAGAGAATGAGCCTGAACACAGCAATCCCATCCCCATAAACATTAGAACGTGGACATCCTTAAGCTCTTGTAGCAAGTGGATTCTGGGCTTTGTGGTCCCAAAATTCACATTTCTAAGCTGTGTGGAAAATCTACTAAGCCCCTTAGCTCTAGTTCTACAGATTTTATCAGCCACATCCCACTCTGTTTATCCAGCAATTTTCTTCTAGCAATGGAAATGGAGCAGGGGTTGGATTTAATTTTCCCCTTCCTTCACAGTCCCCCTTTCTGCTCCCCAAAAGAGCCCTTGGGAGCAGACTGAGGGGCCATCAGAGATTCCCCCTCCCCCCCCCTTTTTTTTGAATGGTTCATAGGGACTATAAACATGGATTTGGTTTTGTTTGGTTTTTTTTAAATGATAGCCCGAGCAACTCAGCATGCAAAATTCTGTATCTGGATAGTTGTCTGGATAGCTCAGTGGTTGAGGTCTCTATCTGTGAAGCCAGAGTTTGGGAGTTTGATTCCCCCACGGGGCCTCCTGGTGTCAGAGCCAGCCTGGGTGGCCTTGGGCAGGCAAGAGAGTCCCAGGCCGCCCCCGGAAGAAGGGAATGGTAGACCACTTCTGCATATTCTCTACCTGGAAAATCATGATATCTGGATAGTTGTCTGGATAGCTCAGTGGTTGAGGTCTCTATCTGTGAAGCCAGAGTTTGGGAGTTTGATTCCCCCACGGGGCCTCCTGGTGTCAGAGCCAGCCTGGGTGGCCTTGGGCAGGCAAGAGAGTCCCAGGCCGCCCCCGGAAGAAGGGAATGGTAGACCACTTCTGCATATTCTCTACCTGGAAAATCGTGAAAACTGTTATCATCATCATCTCATCCTAGAACTGGACAGCTGGAAGGGACCCTCTGGATCATAGAGTCCAGCCCCGGTCAAGGAGACACAGTGGGGGAATCAAACTCCAAACCACTAAGCTATCACCGTAAGTCACAATTGACTTGATGGCACATGATTATTATCATTATGGAATATCTCATGCTCTTGCTGTGTGTAAATGATAGGCGATGATGCTACTGCCCACAAAGGAAAATAATTGGAATAACCACTCACTCAGGGATTGTTTTAGAAGACAACTCTCGCTTGTAAGCCAGCTGGTACTTAAGGCTTTCGACCTCTTTTTGCCACTGGGGGGCGTCCCATTCATCCATGGAGAACCGGTAGGGTGGTAAGTCCTCGTCAAGGAAGGAAGGTCAACCAAGACTGAAAATCAAATTAGAACGATGAATTAAACACCCTTTTTTTTGCTTTACCATGCAGTTCCTCCGAGGGCGATGTATGTGGAAATTCCTCCCGTCATTCCATCCATGCAATGACTTTGATAGATTCCATTTTTAGCCTGCTTATCTACTTTTCCCTAAAGGAAAAGAAAAACGCACGGGGTGGCTATTGGAGAAGTAAAAACAACTCAAGATAATTATTGGATGACACCAGGAGGGGACTAGCTCGTTTTCTGCTTAACAGCAAAAGGGAAAGGAAATTTGAAGGACCAAAGACCTTTTCAAGCCAGGGGTTCCTGCTGCCTTGGTCTTTTTATTTTATTTTATGAGGGGCATTTCCCATTGCTACGTAAACAAACTGTGAAATAGACACACTGAAGGTGTCTTCCATGCTTTAGCCAACAAATGTTGGCCGAATCTACCATATTTTTTCCGTGTATAAGACCACCCCATGTATAAGACGCCCCCCCCCATATTTTTCCGTGTATAAGACCACCCCCATGTATAAGACGCCCCCACAGCCCGAGACAGATCATTGGGAAGATGTTGACATTAAAACCAATTAATTTGAAATTAGCTCATCCACAAACGGAAAGGCAAGGCAAATCCATCCATGGAAGGTCCTATCACCTTGAAACCCTGTCCCGTTAGCCGTCTCGCCGGCCCGTTCTGCACCGACTGAAGCGTCTGGCTATTTCCCCCGTACACAGATTTTGCCTCCTATCCATTTTTCGCAGCCTTCAAACCAGCTGCACATCTGGGCTTAGTGGGGGAGGTGCTGCAACGCACCCACAATTTGCATTGCTCCATCTTTCAGCATTAACGTTTGACTAACAAATCCTTCCAAAGGCTGCTCAGGCGGGAGCAGCTGTTGTAGGCCTGATAGAAATGGGAGATTTAATCCGGATCCAAAGAGCTGGTTTTGGCAGGGCTTGCTTGCTTTGGATGGCGGATTGGAAGCCCAGCAGCCGTGCCATTATTCCTTTTGATCGAAATATATCTTAGAGCACACAGACACACACACAGAGAGAATGTGCATAGCTAAAGAATCAAAGATCAAACTTGTTTGCTTAGCATTTCCTGTGCAATTCTGCACATGCAGCTGTAAAATCAGATTTTTGTCATTGAGACACATCTCACCTGAGTGGGGAAAGAGGGGACCAGGTGACTTTACCTGCTGTCCAGGTGTTGCTACCTGTGGGCGACAGGCAACTTCATGGTCCCCGAGCTCCCTCCCGGGAGCAGCTGTTGTAGGCCTGATAGACATGGGAGATTTAATCCGGATCCAAAGAGCTGGTTTTGGCAGGGCTGGCTTGCTTTGGATGGCGGATTGGAAACCCAGCAGCCGTGCCATTATTCATTTTGATCAAAATATATCTTAGAACACACAGACACACACACACAGAGAGAATGTGCATAGCTAAAGAATCAAAGATCAAACTTGTTTGCTTAGCATTTCCTGTGCAATTCTGCACATGCAGCTGTAAAATCAGATTTTTGTCATTGAGACACATCTCACCTGAGTGGGGAAAGAGGGGACCAGGTGACTTTACCTGCTGTCCAGGTGTTGCTACCTGTGGGCGACAGGCAACTTCATGGTCCCCGAGCTCCCTCCTTCTACCTCTTTATTGATACATCATCACTAATGCTTCAAAAAGAAGACTACGCTTCAAACACCTTGCAAACAGAGGATTGCACTCTGTAGAAGAGACCACACATGGCTATCCTCTCTTCAAGGCTGGCCACACGCCCGGCTGGAAGGAACGGGCCTTCCTCAACTGAAAAGCCACAAATTTGGTGGTAAGAAGCTTAAGGGGCCAGCTCAATCATCGGACAGGGTGAAACGGCTGCCTCGAGCTGCAGATTTGTGTGGGTCTCCTGGAAGGAGTAGCTGCTGAATTCATACGAACTGTAATTTTTATGCGCAGTGAAGGCAGATGGCTGATGATCGAAAGCTGATTTTTGGGATGTCGGAGTGTACAACCGCTTTCGCACAAGACGACAAAGCCAAGTGTACCCCCCCCCCAAATATTGTGAAAAGAAGCTTTTCATTGGCAACCTGCACCAGCAAACTTTCCCCAGGAGGAAAAGATTCTGGACGTCTTCAGTTATAGCAGAGAGTGAACAGAAGAAGCTGGAGAAACACCCCAGATCTCCAGAGCGACTACTTGTACGTTAAAAGGTCTTAGGTGGCTCCTGCGGTTTTGAGCCTAACTGCAGCCTAATATTTTCTCTACCAGAATTAGCTAATCCTGATTAATATCTCATCAGCGTGTATAGCAAAGGCAGAAAGTCTCAAACTTATTTCTTCATTCTGAGAGGGCAAGGATTGGTTCCAGATGTTTTGACCTCAAACACTGACGTTCTGCTTAAACGGTCTTGTTGAGGGAAGGCTCTCCCCTTGGTCAATTGCTTTATCTCAAAACCCGCCAGGATTAAATCCATTGATGCAGCCTGGGGTTTTTTTGTGTGTGTGTCTGGTTTTGGCACTTTTAATCACTATGCATTATAAACAGGGCCATGTTGTTTTTGCTCATTGTTGATTGATAAATACGAAACCGTGAAATCTGGAGTGTGCTGCGAAAATTTCGCCCTTGGTTCAGAAAGCTCCCTCTTCCATTAGCGCATCCTAAAAGACACCTACGTTTTGTGTTTTCGGTTTGATTTGTGCAAAATTCGCCTATATTTATTCAAGCGATAAAGCGAAACCTTGCCAAAAATCCAAGTGATGGCCAATCAACTGTTCCATGCATTGAGAAGAGTAAGATTTCATTCAAGAAATTAAATTCCTGGAGTCATTGATGGCCACGCAGACATGGGAAGAAGAAAATTTATTTTTTCTCATTTCACAAATTAGGGAGACGAAGGTCAGCTTAGCCACCACAAAAGGGGGGGGGGGACACTACACTTTGTCCATACTTCTGTAAAGGACTCTCACAACTTGAAAAGAGATAGAAAGAAAGCAGAGGAAGCCACATAACAAATAATAAAGGAATAAAATGATTAATTTCTGCGAAAATGGATTTGCATTTATACACAATTTCACGCGTATCTTCCTTAAACAACCCCATTGCCCTCCCATTGTGATTTTCACCTGGCCAGCCGGAAACAACTGTGTGCAGAGTTTCACAGTAACTGTTTATAAATAACAAGTGACTTGCAGTTATTCTGTTCTTTAATAACTAAGGTGTAACTAAGAGATTGTAACATAACTAACTAGAGGTAACTTTACTTTGTGATATGACTGTGATGGAACTGATCTAACAGTTATAGTTAGATCACAAAAGTTGCAAAGTTGACCCCCAGTTATGTTACAGCTGAGCTGTATCTTATTTACCCCTTTATTACTGAAAAACAGAATTCATTCAAAACAGTTTTTATAAATATGGGTGGCTTTGCCAGTTAGTTGTGCTTTCTACCGCACACCAACACCTTGTAGTGATTTGCATTAAACACGAAACAACTAGTTTAGCTATTTTTGAAAAACAAGAATTAACTTTTTTAAAAAAAAAAGTGGAACTGTAAAGCCACCAAATTACTTTGGAGCTCTGGAATAGTAACTGTAACTAATTAATTTTGATGATTATTTCCTGAACTGTGTCTGCATATTGCCTTTAAAATGTGAAGCCAAATAGAATACCAAGAATTTCTTTTACACCCAGTGGAAACAAGATGGGTAGTATGTCAGCACGTAGTAACGAAATTAGCAACAAGACAAACTTTGGAAATGATGATGCTTCCAATCCGTTCTTCCCCCAACCTAAATTTGCACAATGGAAATTTGTTATGGGGGGGTAGGCGCTCCATGTTTCCGCTCTTTTGCTTTTCCTGCGTAGCTTTTAGCCCTGTCCGAGACTCATCAGATTGGACTATTTATGGAGTTAGACAATCTTAGAGACTTCTGAGTAACATAGATTTAAACGAGGCTTACCTTTAGCCGCCCAGCTTTTGCCCTGTGAAAACGTAGCCAAAGAAACAACACCGGCCTTCTCTCCAACCCATCATTGAGATACATCTGCTTTGTATATTTGAAAAGCATTTGCATCCAACGAAGCAAACTCACAATCTGATCTGATTTCAATTTGAATAAATCTGAAGCCATCCAAGAGAGACAGGTTGGTGAGCATCACGACAACAAGGACTGACCCGACCTTTGCCCTTCCTGGGGCTGGATCCAGATCTAGACTCAGCACCGCTGCCTTCTGTCTCCCAGAGTGGAGAGAAATCACGAGTAACACATTGGCTGGAACCCAGATGCTTAGTGCAGTAAATTGCACTAGAGTAGGCCCATTGAATCATTGGGGAATTGAGTGGGTCAGTTCCTCTGCCTGTTCCATTGTATGACAGTGACTCGCTGGGCTAACGTTCAAGCTGGGCTTCGCAACCTTGGGTGACCCAGGGGTTCCTGGACTACAACTCCCAGAAATCCCGGCCAGCATCGCTAGCGATAAAGACTTCTGGGAGTTTTCATCCAGGAACCTCTGGGTCAGAGTGTCTAACTTAGGGCTAGGAAGACCTGGGTTCAAATCCTTACGGCTACGTATAATCGCTCAGCCAGACCTATTTCACAGGGCTGTTGGGAGGGAGGAAACCGGGTAAGAAGGATTTTGTTTTGTGATTGGATCCTGGAAGGCAAACACGGACTTAATTTGCAAATCCGGCTCTTGAGCGATGCCTATCTTCATGAAATCCCAAGAGCAAGAGCAAAAATCGGTTAAGCCAAGGAAATATACATGCTCTTTAATATCTAGTTTGATCCAGAGACCTTTGTTTATTGACCGGTTCTCTCCATCTGTCCCACTGCCATTCCTGCGCAATCTACCCCTCGAGATGGCGGTAGTAGTACATCAGAACGGTTCAAGAGAGGAAGGGCTTTCTCTCCCTGTTCTTACAGCAGAAAGGAGGGGAACAACACAAACTCTCGCATAAAACCCCCAAAGACCAGTACGGACAGTTCCAGAACTGGTGTACGTCCAACATTAATCCACGAAGGTACGGGGCAGGCTGGGGCGAAGCTTAGATCTGATTAACACTGACGTCAGAGGGATCGGAAATCAGGCGGTCCTCTTGCATCAGAGCCTCGATTTCGTGGTTCAATAGGAGAGCATCCACGTGCGAGCCGGGTGGAGGAGCCTGACTGGGTAAAGCGAAATCGTTTTGTTTTTTTTCTCACAAACATTAAGATTTTAATGCACACGGCATGGCCCCAGTTATTAATGAGAGACCCTGGAATGAGACAAGACCCAAGCGTTCTGCCTTTTCTGTTGGTTTCCTTCAAACTCAACGAACCAAACAAGGAGAGAGTAAAGGCCTTCATCAGTTCAAGCACACGAAACTCCTCCTGCTCGGCCGCCACGCAGGCAGTAAAGCCAGGTGGAAGGACCAGAAACCAACCAGTTCCCAAAAACTCATCAAGGGGCCTTTTGGAAAAATCCCTTCCTTGCTAGCCAACAACAGTTAGATGAATCTTTTCAGCTGTTAACCACACAAAGGTTGGCAGGGAAACAAATAATCTTTCATTAGGTAATGTCTTGAATTGGCACTCGGGACACCAGAGATGGGGATGTTCGGAGTGCCAATTCAAGACATAACTTCATTGTCAAGTCAGACTTAATTCGCATCCTTGACTCGACTCTTAACTCAGGTCGTTTTTTTTTCTTTCAGTGATTCGAACTCAAGTCACGACCCACCATCGTCTCCCGTTTTTCTGGGAGGGAAACTTGTTTTTAATAAGGACTCAGACTTGATACTTGGTACCGAAGACTCAGAATCGGACTTGGGACTTGTTGCCAAAGATCTGCCTACGTCCCTACTGAACACCAGGTTAATCAGGGTAAATTAAGTCTAACCACCAGGTTGATGAAGGCAAATTAAGTCTAAAGACGAAAACAAGACCTTTCCACACTAGCGCCGGTGAGACACGATGGTGGGACACAAGCCAAACACAGCCTCTTTACCTCTGGTTTGGCATTATCCCATGACTGTTTTTCCAAAATATACCTACGGTCGTGTGAACCTTCTGGAAATGTTGGTCATAGATACAGATATTACAGCTACTGATATCTAAGCATGTTTAATTCCCATCTATGCCCATGAAAACCAGTTAAGAAAAGGCTTAACAACTCCGGCAAAATCAGCAGGAAATCAGTGGTCTTGGGAGGGGGGACTGGATCATGTCACAAGCTAAAACCCTGCATATCGGTATTTCATCTATTTACGTTGTATTAAAATGCATTCTGCATTACTGCAGGCAATCTCTCAGGCAGCCCACAAAACTGTCATGATGCATGTATAAACTGGGAGGCTGGTTTCTAGGCTAAACTGTACCTCCTTCTGGGGAGGTAACCCAAATTATATTTCTGTTCCCTCTCCTTATGCCTTCCTGCTAACATCTCTTTTTCTAGGCCAAATACACAGGATCCTTTTCTTCTGCTTGACTCCTCTTGATCACATCATTTTGACCACAAGGTCACCAGGTCAAATTGATGGGGCAAGAGTTTCAGGGTAGGATTTTTCACACAACACGCAACCGGTTGGTGGAAATTCACAGCCGCCCTGCTTGGTGGTGAGCCCGACCCTCAAAAAAGCCATTCTGAAGGTTGTTGTGGGTTTTTCGGGTTCTTTGGCCGTGTTCTGAAGGTTGTGCTTCCTAATGTTTCGCCAGTCTCTGTGGCCATGGGCATCTTCAGAGGACTGGAGTAGCACTCTGTGCCCTGGTGCAGTTTGTTTGGGAGTTGAGTATTTATGGCTGTGGGACCAGCTTTTGTCCCTTTTTGGAGATGGGTGATTATGGTGATCAGGGGAAACAATACTGTTTTAAGGATGTAAACCACCATTGTATACTCATCATTTTTGGCTTTAAATGTTGCCTTTCAAGGAGGTAAACTGCCAGGAGCCCCTTTCGAGGAGAAAGGAGGGGTAAAAATATTTTAAATATATAAATAAATAAATAAATAAACATCTTTGATGACGATAACTCGGAGGTTCTGAGGTGTTCACCAGTCATTTTCCAAGCAGTCAGCCATGCTTTCAGGATATGTTCCCTTTATGGAACCTCCATGTTCAGAGGCAGTCTACCCTAACAGCTGTGATTCTTTTGGTGCCAGTCAGGGACCTTCCAAATGGAACCGGCTGGCCATGGTTGGAATCAGAACCAAGGCTGAGCACAGCTTATCTTCCCCCAACCGGTCGAAGTTTTCATTTCTACCCTGGCCGTTTTATCAAACACCCTTTCCAAGCAGTGGAAAACTTTATTTAAGGGCAGCGCAGAAGGCCAGGATTAGGAGATGCATCTCTGCTCTCCCTAACAAAGCAGCAGATCATCAGGGACCTTGAGTCCATCTCCATGCAGATCACCAAGGCCGCTGATCCCCTGCGGTCCCGTCTCCTTCTGGGAAAAGGGGCCGTTGAAAACAAACAGCCTTTGCAAACTTAAATCAGTCCACGCGCAACTGTGAAGCTCAGACAGCTTTCCTCTGGAAATACTCCATAGATACTCGTACACACGTTGCAGAGGATGCTTGGACCGACCCCGGCCACATACCATTACCCTCTCCGGTTCCGTCCTTCCGGGATTCAAAATGACTGCTATAAGCAGGAAGCCACTTTTTTAATGACTAAACGCCAGCTGAAGCATTCGAGTGACATTTATATAATCCTTTTGGATCAACATAATTGGAGTGATTAAAAAACCCTCATACAACAGATGCGTCCCGGGGCCTGTTATTCAAATATCTGAAGCCACCTTCTGCTGCCTCGCGGACAAAGAAGTACTTGCAATGACGGTGGATCCAAGACTGCCTGGCGCTGGGTCCGTTCATTTGCATCCGGCCACCATCATTGCAAGTACTTCTTTGCACAAAGCCATGTTCCACGGAATAGTGAAATGTTAGGGAAATACGCGTACGTTTACATTGGGGGATGCTCCACACGAAACCAAGGGAGGCTACCCAGCCTAGAATTTTCTTTTTCAAACCAGAGATCTATGGTGAATTTGGGATTTTCTGCTTTCAAAGCAGGTCCTTTGGAATAATGAGCCTTAGCTATACTTATTTTCTGAGCAGGGCACCCGGGCACCCCTTAAACCATGTGCAAAGTCCCCTGGGGGGGGGGCCTTCGTAAATCCAAAGAGGGCAAAAAGGTGCAGACCTTTGATTGCATTGAGGCACACACACACAAAAAAGAATTTGCCCATCGCTTTCCACCCTATTGTCCCAAAAAGCTCCTCAAAATCTAGAATCACGCCTACAGTTTCCAAAAATTTGGATGAGGAAGAGTTAGTGAATTTTTCTGTTCAAGGGGCTTGTGCTATCTCAAAGCAAAAGGCTTGTTCTATGATACAAGCTTCAGACGCAGTGGGTTGCAGGCCATAAAATTGTCCCCAAAATAAAATGTGTTCATTTTTAAGGAAGACAAGATCTTTTTCCAAGTGGCTAGAAATGCACCTCTCTCTTGCTTGTTTTTTCAAAGTTAGAAACACTTTATCAAAAACAAGCGTTGCATCTCTGTCCAAAAGGAAAATGTGCCTAAGAGCTCACACACACACACACACACACACAGAGAGAGAGAGAGAGAGAGAGAGAGAGAGAGAGACACGTCTTTAAACATTTTAAAGCAAGCCACGACCGACCGACATGCTGTTAAGTTTAATTAGCCAGGAGATCAGACCCCCATTTCCACATTGGGGTGTCCTGCTTTTCAAATCTGTATTTTAAACTGAGCCCAACCCAGCTGCCTTTTCCAAATAAGTCTGCTTCAGCATTGAGGGGGGCAGGCAAATTCCAGAATTGCTGGGGCATCATCCTCTCGGGAAAAGCAAGATCCAGCCTGCTGGGTGCGACTGAGGGTCCGTCTACACCAGCATCCTGTATCCATACTTTGCAAAATAGACATAAGCAGAATATAGCAGCAATTCTTGTTGTTTGATTCAAATGTTTGATTCTCAAAGCTAGACTGCTGATGTACATGGAGGATCCGTTTAGCAGTCCCCAGCAAGAAGCAACACGGATGGAAACGGAGCATCAATTATTTCAGCACTCAGGAGGAATAGCTGCCTTCCTCATCTACCTACATGGCTTCCCCCCCCCCTTTCCTAAGGAAACCCACCCAGCCGCTTACCTGAGAAGACGCAGGGTGGGTCTCAGGCCCACGAGGGGAGTGTCCTTGTTCTTAAGGAGCACGGTTCTCCAGCCGAGAGGCACGGACGGTTCACCACCAAAGGCTGAGAGGGCTTCCTGGATCTTTCCCCAGCCCAAAGCCCTCCGCTGCTGTTAACAATTCCAAACCCTCAAAGTAATCTATTAATGCACTGCCTGTCCAGCTGCCTCTGGAAAAAAAGAGAGAGAGAGAGAGAGAAGGATAATGAGCAAAGACTCCTCCTCGTCCTGGCTGCCGTTTAATGGTTTACAGTGGAGATAAGCAGAGAGAGGGAGGGAGGGAGGGAGAGCCTCTGCCCTCTTTCTCTCCCACTGGTACGGATCCATCCCAATGGCCCTCTGGCAGCCGGTGCCAAAGAAACCAAGCAACAGGTAAAGGGATGCTGAGCGGCTCCCCTCCTGAGGATCGTGGCAGCTTGGTCACAACAATTTCCATCACGAGCATGTCTGAGCATCAAGGACCAGGGAGGGTGCCTTAATTGCTCCCCCTGGGGGGGCAGGGGTGGGGAGGTTGGTAAGGGTGGGGACACAGCAATTCTAAGCCGACAGCATCATCACTTCTATGGGGATGATTTTATTTTTAATACTGTAGATAAAGGGCTGGCTGGAGAGCTCCGTGGTTGAGGCATGCGGCTATAAGCCGACAGCATCATCACTTCTATGGGGATGATTTTATTTTTAATACTGTAGATAAAGGGCTGGCTGGAGAGCTCCGTGGTTGAGGCATGTGGCTACGGAGTCAGAGGTTGGGAGTTTGATTCCCCCCCTCCAAGGCCTCCTGGACAGGGGATGGACTGGATGACCCCATGGGGTCCCTTCCTAAGACCATTATTATGAACGTCTGGAGAGGTCAGCGGTTTAGCTCTCCGTCTTCAGAGCCAGAGGGCGGGGGTTCAATTCCCCGCCATTGCCTGCAGAGAGAAGAGCCATTATGGTGGAAGTTAGCAAAAAGGTATGAAAATCTGTGGTTCTCTGCCAGCTGTCCGGGGACCAAGAATGGAAAGCCCTCCAGGTGGAGCACAGGGTTCCCGTTTAATGACAAAGAATTCTCTGTTCACCTCGCCTCTAAACGTTCTTCCGCAGGCCTGCAATTTTAACCCCCCCCAAAAAAAGCACAAATAGAGCAAGGTACTGCCTGTGAAAGCCTATTCATAGCCCCTTTGAGGTGTTGAGGTGGCTATTTAACTCACATCATGGTGGGATTCGGGTTTCTGAGGGCTCGGTAGGATGGATGTTACTGGCGTGTGTTGTAATGGCCACAGAGGGACCCCAATCCTGTTTTGGCTGAACACAGCAACCCCTGTTTCGATCTAGCCAGAAAATATTCACAGAGCAACAAATAAACTCCCAATTAAATCTGCTCCATTGTCAATTACAAGCAGAGAGCAAACGCATCAGCGTAACGGAACCAATCCAGCCAAAACCCGTAAAGCATCCTTGTGGGGTTGTGTCCCTATATATTTGGGTTGATTTGCCCACGCTGTACTACTAGAGCACTA